GAGTCCACCTGAGATGGACACCTGAGAGAGGCTTGTACCCCCAAAGGGAGCAATGTACCCTCCACTTCCCTTAAGCGGGAGTGACTCTCAGCCAGTGTTGTAGAAGTGGGAGGTGGGTGGGTGGGTTTATTAGACGTCTGGAACACAGCAGAGAAAGTCCTCGGTTAGCACAGAGAACAGAAAGTTACAGCATGGCCTTCTTGGTCAGCCCAGAGCTCAGAGCCCTCTGACCCCTCCCTTGTCCTAGTTCACAAGAGTCTCCAGCTTCCAGCAGCCCACACTTAACAAGGGTGCCTGGCCACTCCTCTGCCCTGTTCTCCAACTGGTCAAACCAGCTGGCTTCCCATGGAGGGTCGGCCATCCAGGGTCATTAGTTGCTAGGTGCCAAATGTCCAGGCAATTGAAATGGCCATTGTCTTCTCGGATTCTCCATGGATTGGAGGCCCAGGCCCTAGACAGCTAGGCGTCAGTCACTCCTGGATCTCTGGGTCTCTGCAAAGACCTTTTCCCACCACTTAGTTAACCAGGCAGCACATAGGGGGAAACTGAGGCACATACCGTATATTCATACAAAATATTACAGAAAATGCCCACTCCGTCACACCAGCCTCAGTTGTTGGCTAACTGCCTGATGTTACTGCAGCATCAGAGAGTCCAAATTGCAGGCTTAAGTGTGCTGGGACTTGGGAAAGTGGCTGTAAAAATGGCATTTGCCGGAGGCTAATTCTCTTGCTGGTGAGTGGCAGAGGGGGAAAATCCCCCATTTGGGATGGAAGAGACAATTGCACGATCTCTTGCTGCTGAGACAATAAAACCCTTTCTCCTTTCTCTCTCTCTTTTCTGACAGCCAGCAGCCCTTGGTGAGCTGATTAAACCCCTCCCTGTAAAGTCAGCTGCAGCGCCCGCCATTCCCAGGTCATCCCATGCTGGCATCGCTTCTCATCAGCCCAACAGGGAGCTGGTGTCAGCGTAACCCACACAGATGCTTCCTGAACTGATGATGAACGTGGGAGGACACTGGGGCATCGACAGGGGCCAGGTGAGCTGCTGATGAATGTCAATCATCTCATTTGCCCTCTGCGGAGGCCGGCTGAGTGTTGGAGTGGCACAGTCCCGGAGGGCCAGGCCTGGGGCTGATGCAGAGAGGAGGCTGAATGCTGATGAAAGGGGTCAGTCTGTCTCTCTCTCAAACAGGTGGGTTATTCCAGCTCCAACCAAATAAACCAGCTTTATAGGAAAAAACCTGCCTCTTTTCCCTGACAAACAGGTGACTCCGAGGGGAGCCCCGTTGGTTTAACTCCCCCTGGATCGTGGCTGGTCACTGCAGGCTGAGCCGACCCAGGAGTGCCAAGAATCCAGCAGCAAGAACAAGTGCACGAAGGGCTCTCTGGAGGGGTAATTTCACAGGCTTTGATCGCATCTGCAGGCGCACACACCTCTCTCTCTCTCCCTGCAAAGCCTGGAATGTTTATTTCATAAGTGGCCGTGGCCGTGAGTTGCCTGCGGTGGTGGTGTAGCTGTGTCAGTCCCAGGATGGAAGAGAGACAAGGTGGGTGAGGGAATATCTTTTATTGGACCAGCTTCTGCTTGCGAAAGAGACCAGCTTTCGAACCACACTGAGCTCTTCACTTGACAGCTTCTCTCTCTCGTCAATAGAAGTTGGTCCAATAAAAGCTATTACCTCACCCGCCTTGTCACGCTAAGTAGCCATCAGTGGCTCATTTGCTTCTGCCCCAGAGAGCTGCCCCAGCAGTGCGGTCGCTTCCCTGCCTTTAGAATCTCAGCTCCAGCTGAGAGCGCCAGTTCTTGAGATGTGCAGCCTCATGTCTTGCCCACCCAGAGCAGCACCCCTAGTTTCAGCCCCTATGAGGGGCGTTGTCCATAGGCTAGGGATAGAAATACAATTCCAGGTATGTCTCCCGATGACTCAGAGGGGGGGGGAGCAGATTGTCAGTGTGGATGTTGGCAACATAAATCCATCAGCTGATTAGTGCTTGGTGGGGGTAGGGATGGGCTACTCCATTTCTAGTGTGGTTTGTTAGGTGGGTTAGCAGACGGCAGCCTCTAACTCACCACTCACTTGTGCAATTACCTCACGTGTGTTTCAGCTGCAGACAGATACTGAGACAAGACAATCAATGATCCGGTTTTTCTCATGCCAGGCCGGTCCCCCTCCAGGTTCCTGACCAGATTTTTGGAGCAACTGAAGAAGACTGGGGAAGCACCAGTCTGAGCAGTGATTTTTCTTGGGCTTGCTTCATTGGCTTCCAGGTCTGTTATGCGGGGTAGTTGTAGCTATGTCAGTCCCGTATATTAGAGAGACGGGGGTGGGGGGGGGGAGTGAGGTAATATCTTTTATGGGACCAACTTCCATGGGGGAGACAAACAAGCTTTCGGGCGATGCAGAGCTGCTCTTCAGGTGTGGGAAGGTACTCAGAGCATCATAGCACACTGCAAGGTGGAACAGATTATTTAGCATAAGTAGCTAGCACATGTTCTAAGGGCCCATTCACAGGGGAGTGGCCCCTTAACCCCTCTGCAGTCACAGGACAAAAAGGGGAATTAGTGAGTTACAGGTTGGTGTAATGAGCCATGAATCCAGCATCTCTGTCCGGTCCAAGTATTGGGCAAGTTTCCTTTGAGGCGGAGGCCTGTAGGTCAGATAGTGTGTGCTGGCATGTGAGAGCCATCACTCTAAGACAGGGGTGGGCAAACTGTGGCCTGCGAGCCGCACCATGTGGCTCGGCCCTGCTCCGGCGCTTTGGCTGGGGCACTGGGTCGGGGGCCACACCACACAGCTCCCGGAAGCTGCAGCATTGCCCCACTCTGGCTTTTACGTACGCCAATGGGAGCTGCAGGTGCAGTGCCTGCCAGTGGGGCAGCGTGCACAGCCACCTGGCTGTGCCTCTGCGTAGGAGCCGGAGAAGGGACATGCCGCTGCTTCCAGGAGCCGCTTGAGGTAAGTGCTGCTTGGACCCTGAGACTCTCCCCACGCCGCAACCCCCTGCCCCAGCCCTGATCCCCCTCCTGCTCTCCAAACCCCTTGATCCCAGCCTGGAGCACCCTCCTGCATCCTAAACCTCTCATCCCAGCTCCACCCCAGAGCCTGCACCCCCAGCTGGAACCTGCACCCCAGCCCTGATCCCCCCCTCCTGCCCTCCAAACCCCTCGCTCCCAGCCCAGAGCACCCTCCTACACCCCAAACCTCTCATCCCAGCTCTACTCCAGAGCCTGCACCCCCTCCTGCACCCGAACTCCAATTTTGTGAGCATTGATAGCTCACCATACAATTTCTATTCCCTGGTGTGGCCCTTGGGCCAAAAAGTTTGCCCACCCCTGATCTAAGGCCCAGTGAGCGTCTCTGCTGTTTCATTGCTCTTGTTTTCCTCCTTTCCCTTTATTTTTGGCTCCACTTGTGCTTGGACCTCTCCTAGGAACCCCCGCCCCCTGCAAGTTTACTGGAATAAGCACAGCTTGGTTGTTCCTTTTAGCACTAAAATCAACACACGCTAAAAAAACAACCTCCCCTCTCTCCCTGCAACTTCCCTGTAGGGATGGCGCCCTGTCCCCCTTGCCCCCAGCCCTCCTTAGCACACTGGCTAGGGCCTAATCCCTGCAGCCCATCAATGGGGTGTGAGTGAGGGTGGGAGAGTTTTATTTATATGGCTGTGCCTGCACCATCCAGTCAGAGCCCCAGGACGTCCGCATGGGGCTATAGTTCCTGTGTTAGATGTTTCTAGAGGGCCAGAGTCGGCGCTAGACACACGCAGACTAAGCAGTTGCTTAGAGCCCTGAACAGCTTAAGGGCAGGGCCGCCCAGAGGATTCAGGGGGCCTGGGGCAAAGTGGGGTAGCTGTGGCGCTTGTACTCACCCAGTGGCGGTCCGGGTCTTTGGCGGCATTTCGGCGGCAGGGGGCCCTTCACTTGCTCCACGTCTGCGGCAACACTGAAAGACCCGCCGCCGAAATGCTGCCGAAGATCCGGACTGCTGCCGGGCCAGGGCTCACGGGGCCCCTGGGGCAAATTGCCCCACTTGCCCCCCCTTTTGGGCAGCCCTGTTTAAGGAGGCCCCTTATTTGCTTTGGGGGGTGGTGTGTGTGTGTGAGCGCGCGCTCTCTCTCTCTCTCTCTCTCCCCCTGCTAGGCCCCCCATGGGCTAACACTGCCTCGGGCAAGGAACTGGTTTTCGCCCTCCTCTCCGGCAGACCCCTGGTCTTCGGGTAAATTTGTTGTGTCTAGCTTGCCTATCCAAGGGCCAGAGAAGTGGGGTGTCAGTCCAGTGAGCTCATGGAAATGTGCCGACCCTAGCAGCGGCTATCTTAGCTCTGGCCTGGCCTGCAGGCATGGCCCTTGCTGGGTGGGGAAGGGATGGCACTCTAGGATATCCTGCGGTGCCCCCGTTTACCAAGAAGGGAGTTGTTGCTTTGCACAAAGGTGTGGTCACTAGTGTGGGGGACACGCAGCTAGAAAGGCCCTAGCCATGCCCCTGTTCAAAATAAGGCTGATCCTTGGCATGTCTCCAGCTCTGGCTGCAGGGGCTCAGGAAGGGCGTAAGCCCCTAGGAGAGCCGCGGCTCAGGGGTCGTGCTGATGGGCACAGGCCCCCGCCCAGCTGCAGCAGTGACTGGCTTTGCCAGAGCCCTACAGCCCTGGTGCGGGCAGAGCAGGCAGCTGGGGCCCGGGAGTCCTAGTGGCCAGGCTGCAGCTCTAACCACTGGGCACTATACCCTGTGGAGAGCGAGGAGCGGGGGTCTGGGAGGAGGGGCCCTGGCCTGGGGTCCCGGCTGCCCTCGTGTCTCCCTGCAGTAGCCCGACGCTCCAGTGGCCCCTGAGGGGAGGCCGGGGCTTGCTGGGCTCCCCTGTGCCATGCCCCCGCCCCGCCCCAGCCCGCCGAGCTATGCACCCCCCGCGGCGGGGGCAGGTGGGCCGGGCCGGGCCGGGTCGGCGCGCGAGGGGTTAAGCTCAGCCCGGCTCCCGGCGCTGAATATTTAAGAGCCGCGCGCAGGCGGCGGCGCAGCCCCGGGTTCCCCTCGAGCCCCGGACGGCCGAGGCTGGGCGCGAGCCGCAGAGCGCGGGGTGGCCCCGGGGACAGCAGCCGGCCGGAGGATGCGGCGCCTGGCGCTAACTTTCCTCGCTTTGCCGCTGGTGCTCCGCGCCGCTCCGGGAGGTGAGCGGCCCCCGCCCCGCCCAGCCCGGGCAGCCCCTGCCTGCGCCCCGGGCTCCAGGGACCGGCCCCGGCTGCAGGCAGGGACGGGACGGGGGGACTTGCCTGGGTCAGGACCGAGCGACCCCCTCGGGATCGGGCCCTGTTGTCTGGTGACTGCGGCGCTCTGCCCCCCAGCGCCCCGGGCATGGCCCCGCGGGGGGAGCGGGACTCTGCCTGGTGCCCCTGCCCAGCTCGCTTCTTCCAGACTCTGCAGCTACCTGGCCTCGGTCCCCGCCTGCTGCCGCTGCTTTTCCTGCTCTTCTCCAGCTGGGGCCAGGGGCTCATTCCCTTTCCTCCCCTCTGGCTGTGTGTGGAAGGGGGCAGGTGGCTGGGAGGGTTTAGAGACGGTCCCGGGGAGCAGGGCTGGCTCCGTCTCCCCTCTGGCTGTGTGTGGAAGGGGGTAGGTGGGTGGGAGGGTTTAGAGACAGTCCCGGGGAGCAGGGCTGGCTCCGTCTCCCCTCTGGCTGTGTGTGGAAGGGGGCAGGTGGGTGGGAGGGTTTAGAGACGGACCCGGGGAGCAGGGCTGGCTCCGTCTCCTCTCTGGCTGTGTGTGGAAGGGGGCAGGTGGGTGGAGGTTTAGAGACGGACCCGGGAGCAGGGCTGGCTCCGTCT